CGATTGCCAACCCGCCTGCCAATCATAGCAACTATAGCAAAATCCCCCTTGAGCAATCTATGGAAGAGGCCTATTTTCAGCAGTGGACTAGAATAGAATGATTTTTTATTCAATATTGACTATTACTAATACTTATTAAAAGTAATTTTTTATTTGAAGAGAAGGCCAAATTGGCCTCTAAAAAGCTTGGCGTGCTCAGCAGAGCGGGACAGTATTTCATGCCGGCACACCGCCTGCAACTTTACAAGGCGCAGGTTCGGCCTCACATGGAATACTGTTCCCATCTCTGGGCAGGGGCTCCCCAGTGCCAGCTCCTTCCACTTGACCGCATCCAGCGCAGAGCGGCTCGAATCGTCGACGACCGAGCCCTTTCCGATCGGCTCGATTCATTGGCACTGCGAAGAGATGTTGCATCTCTTTGCATTTTCTTTCGCATCTACCATGGGGAGTGCTCTGAGGAATTCTTCGGATTAATCCCAGCCGCCAAATTTCACGAACGCACATCGCGGCAGAACTCCCGATACCATCCACACCATCTGGATGATTGGCGGTCCACCACTGTGCGATTTAGAAGATGTTTTCTTCCTCGCACAACTTCCTTGTGGAATAGTTTACCACCAGGGATTTTTCCGGACCGATACGACTTAGGGACCTTCAAGAAAAGAGCCTACTCCTTTTTAAAAGGCCGGCAACGCATCTGCAATTCCCCTGGTGTTGCGGTTGTTCATGGGCGGCGGTAGTCACTTACCATCAGGTGAGCCGCATGCTCGTTTGCCCTCTCTCCTATAAAAAAAAAAAAAAAAAAATTTACCGTTGGTTCGGAAAACAGCAAGAAACTTAGTGGGACTTTTTTTGTAAACATATTTCACTTTACAATAATTTTGTTTGTACATTTTAGGCTGTTATGGATGATGCTCATATATTTAACATCAAGAGGCTATTGGATAAATATATTAAGTTAATATAAGATACCTGTACGAGTAGATCGTCAAGTTGTGGCTTGTCGACTCGTCGAGGATAGCTTGCAGCGTGCACGGTGTCTCGTTCATCCCCAAGGCCTGTGCTCTCGCCGCCGTCCGTCGACAGCGAGTCCGAACTGTGCAGCTTTTCTGCACATGTGAATCAAGCTAACACCAAGAGTACTCCGCACTCTACTAGGTATACTGTGTGCCCACCGTGTCCACCACGCTCATGATTTCCTGGTAAGTCTCGAAATTATACTCTCTCTACGTATCCCCAACGTGCTTCAACTACGCTTATGAACCCCTAGTAATTCTCGGATGCCAATTACCTGCTTACGTGCTTCCACCACGCTCATGATCCTCTGATAAGTCTCAAACTAATCTCTTTCTACGTTCCCCCAAGTTACCTCCACCACGCTCATGAACCCCTAGTAAGTTACTCCAATCACTGTCTCTCTCTCTCTCTGGAGGCACTTAGGCTCCACCACGCTCATGATCTTCTGGTAAATCTCGGACATCAAACTCTCTCTACATACCCCCACGTGCCTCAACCACACTCATGAACCCCTGGTAAGTTACTCCAATCTCTCTTTGCATTCCTCTAAATTGCCTTAACTACGCTCATGAATCCCTGGTAATTGTCGAACTACTCTCTAAGTGTTCCCTGGTGATCCCCCGGTAAGTCTCGGACTTCAAGATCTCTCTACGTACACCCCACGAATTATGTTCCCCCGATCGTTTTAACCACGTCAATAACTTCCGAGTAATGTCGGAAATTATTGCGCAGGAGACATTAGGGCCATGAATATGCGAACAGATAGGTTCTAACACGTCCTAACACACTCGAGCCCGATGTAACACAAAAAATTGAAGACAGGATAGGATGTTAGAGACATGAAGATAAATCACAAAACAATAGGATGGGACCAGAAAAATAACACTGCATTTTTGCAACGATTTGGTTCCCGGTAAAATCTTAGCTGATTTTAGCTATTATATTACTTGGAGGCAAAGGTCACCAAACTTTTTAGTCTAAGGAGCACAATGACTACATTACATTCTAAGGGCACTACAGTATGTCGTTATGATGAATTAGATAATTCAACTCATATAACGACATACCGTAGTTTTATTTCAGTACTTTCAAGACCCCTACTTTTTTAATACTAATCAAATAAAATTACTATTAAGATCTGGTTCTTAGTTAAAAATCCCAGCCAGATCCAAAATTTGTGCAAAAACATATTTTTCTGGTGTGATAACTTATAACCTACACTAATTCCGATCTTATTGAATAAAAGTTACATCGGGCACAGGTAGGTTAGGATGAGTGATGGCTTCTGTGTTTGTGTACACTTGTGACACTATATTATTTCCTGTGCAGTTGATAGCTTCCGACAGTATTCCAGGCGTTGGCGCATGGTCGAAAATCAGTACAAGTACGATTGTGTAACTCTGATGGGAATCGAATATAAAATACATCGTACAGTCGATTTTAAAATAATTATCGATTATCGTCATCGTCATGATCATGGTCATCGTCATCGTCATGGTCGTCGTCATTATCATGGTCAGCATAATTATCATAGTCATCGTCATGATCATGGTCATCGTCATCATTATGGTCGTCATCATTATCATGGTCATCATAATTATCATGGTCGTCGTCATTATCATGGTCATCGTCATCATCATGGTCGTCGTCATTATCATGGTCTTCATAATTATCATGGTCGTCGTCATTATCGTGGTCATTGTCATCATCATGGTCGTCGTCATTATCATGGTCATCGTCATCATCATGGTCGTCGTCATTATCATGGTCATCATAATTATCATGGTCGTCGTCATTATCATGGTCATCGTCATCATCATGGTCGTCGTCATTATCATGGTCATCGTCATCATCATGGTCGTCGTCATTATCATGGTCATCGTCATCATCATGGTCGTCGTCATTATCATGGTGATCGTCATCATCATGGTCGTCGTCATTATCATGGTCATCGTCATCATCATGGTCATCGTCATTATCATGATCACCGTCATCATCATGGTCATCGTCATGATCGACGTCATTATCGTCATCAAGGTCATCACCATCGTCATGGGCATGGTCATCGTCATGAGCATGGTCATCGTCATGGTTGTCATCATCGTCATGGTCATCGTTTAAAAATATTATTTTAAATAATAAAAAATACGCATTTGCTGAATGATTCCCACCGGCCACCAGAGTTACACAATCGCACTGCAGGAGAGTTATTATCACCATGATTGACAGGTCTGTTTCTTTCTACTTTATTAAATATTACGTACCGTATCTAAAAATTAAATTGTGTATGTAATCTAACCTCTGATACTTTCTAATCTGTGACATTTCTAATATACCATTAAGCCAATACTACGATATATACTACAAATACACTACTACACTATTTCATAAAATATAAACCTTGATATTAAACTGTCTTATCTTGTAAACAACATTTTTCTCTTTAATCTGTACCAATTAATATTATAAATTAAATAAGTTTTTCTAAGTGCCTTTGTCTTTCTTTGTCTTTTTAAGAAATAACTGTGAAAAATATGTGTAACCGCTGGTATTTACTTTTTGTTATGGGTGCTTAAAATCGTATAAAAACTAAATTGTTTACGATATAAGACAGTAAAATAGACTTTATAGATAGTTCAATCATTTTAACTGAAAATTTCGCAAAATTAATGGAGTTTTTATCTATCGGTATATGTACGTTATAGAGCAAAGATAAATTTTATCCACTCTTCCTCCCCCTCCCGGATGTGCGTCACCCCCCCCCCCCCCCCCCTGCACCAAGTGCCCCAAAGCGCGTTTTTTTTTCAGTTACAAAGAAAACCGTACAAGGTACATGAGCTACGAAACAATCCTTGATTAATTTGCTATCAACCTCTTCTTACGGATACAAAATCGGTATCACTTATAGTTTCTGTGCAATCTGCCACGAAATATGAGCATTAACTAAAAAACGTAAGTAAGCTTTTTAATTTCACGTTGTTTCGCCAATTTTAAAACTTTATTGATTCGACCATTCAGCGAAATATAAATGTATTTTAGCTAAAAAATTTGCAAAACAAATGAAGTATCTTTATCTATCGGCATATGTACGTTATAGACCAGAGTTAAATTTTATCCACTCTGCCTCACCCGCCCGGTAGAGCATCACCCCCCGTGCCCCAGAAAGTGTCCCGAAGCGCGGTTTTTTTTCAGTTTTAAGGAAAACTGTACACGATACATGAAAAATATGCAAGTACGACTTATAGTTTCCGCGCAATCTGCCACGAAATATAAACATTATTCATAATTTATCGCTCACCCGGGAGGGGGAGGGAGAGTGGATAAAATTTGACTTCGATCTATAATATATATATGCCGATAGATAAAAACACTTCATAAATTTTGCCAATTTTTCCATATTGCAATCTAGAATGCTTGAACTAAGAGAGTAGTATTTTTTGTAGGAATTTATTACAAGTCGAATATTTTTCGTGTTGATTTGCTAATTTAATCAATATGTCATAATATAGTAGACTACATCGATTAATAATGTAAACGTGCACTTCTGCGATTCCAGTGAAAGCATAAAGGTGCTTGAATTATCTGTACACACTACTAAAACCCTCCCTAAGAGGTTACTAATATAGTGAAATATAAACATGGTAACTGTCCATACTCACTAGGCATACATTGGATATTAGATACCACAATATTAACAAGAGTTATTAATATTTTTTATACATAATTTACTAGATAATATATACAAATAAAGTTGCAGTGATATTATATGATTTACATAGAACCTACTAAGTTAGATAAAAATTATATATATCTGAGATAACACCACCCAATAAGCCGCCAAATATCATTTTTATTACAAAATATTTTATAATATGAATAATTTTGTTGAGCATTAATTAATCTTTATATATAAAAATTACGTGTTACATTGCTTGTCCGCGATGAACTCCACTAAACTATTTTACTAGGAACATTTTTTTATTAGGAATTTAAGGATTTTTTATTGGAGTAAGGGTCATCTCAGGAAAGGGCAGAACAATGTCTGCCTGGTCAGCTAGTTCTATATATATTCTAATTAATTCTTGGACTGCCTAAGTCTAATAATACACTAAATAATGCAATCCCTTTTGTTCATCGCGTTTAGTCATTATTTTTACCTTTACGTGTCACTATCACGAATGGGCACGTATAATATATTTAAATATGTTCATGGAGATTCGTATTTCATTATAATATATAATATATCTATCTATAATCTAGCAACTCTAATCTACTACTAATGTCATGGATGCACCTATAGTAAGGCCAACGAGACGAGATAAAGAATGTAAGCGCACCGACTGACTTGCGTTAGGATCACGCTTCCATCCATCACAGCCTACAGAAGTCCACTGCTGAACATAGGCCCCTCCTTAGGTTACCTCATAAGGGATATTTGCGATAGTAAACAAGCTTGGTAGCCGCAGTTATTTTCTAGTTGTTATTATGTAGACGCTGCTGCCCATCTTCTGTTCTGTTGCCCCTTGTTTCCCTCTGTCCCCTTTTACAATTCCCATGATCAAGCTTGGTTCGATTATCTCCTCATTATTGGGTATGTAAGCCCCGTGTTTTATGTTCAATATTTTTGAATGGTTTATTATTATCGAATTACAAAATCAGATCGAAAATTCACCGAAGGGAACCTTTTTGACCACAGGCACCACAAAGCACTGGAATCGAATAGAATTTAAAAATAAGCTAAAATTAAACGGAATGTGCCAACGCTTGTAGGTCAGAAGTGGCTATCGCTAGGTAATTTATAATACCGGAAAACAGTCGTAGTGTTGTTAGTACCTATATGAGCCGATATTTAATTAAAGTTTAATCCCTCATAAAATCCACTCGAAAATATATATAGCGTGTTTTTACATTCGCGCTTTATTTGGGTTATTTACATTATTGTTAGTTATTTCTGCTCTTACACAACACGATTGACATGATTACAATAACATATATATGCAGTGAAATTAATTTTGTTTAGTAAGAAAATTTTGAACCAAAATAAAATTTCTTAAGTACCCCTGACAGTTTACATTATTTATCTCGTCTAGTTGGCCTCGCAATATTCATGTCTACCAGCATGTGGAGGTCAAGCCATCGTCCCGAGCATACCGTGCGTGAACTCACTGCGCTTCTTCCTCCTTGGCGGTGCGACTGGCTGGCTGGTGGGCGGGTGGTGCTGATGTTGGGCGGGCGGGGCGGGAGACACGGAAGACACGGCCACCACGGAGGCGCTGTGCCGGTGCTTGAGACTGTTCGCCTTCGTGCTAGCTATCACGTCCGGTTCCGACGCCGTCAGCGCTTCCAAACGAAAACACAGTCCAAGGTCCACAACACGGTAGTGCCCAAAACGTCACCGCATATATTCCACAATCAATGTACTAAGACCTTAAGAATCATTGACGCGAACGACCACAGCAACTTCCGAATAACAGGAAACCATCAACTGCGCTAGAGACATTATAGAGAACGTGTATGTTTAGGAGCAGCACACGGTCTACCTGATGGTGAGTGACCCGAGTTACTAATCAAAATGGATCTCCGGTTTATTCTTCCGGTCAGGATACAACACACAGTTGTGAGCGATTATGCAAGCGTGTATGTCGCCTGGTCGAGCCGACCCGTAAGTGCCGCGCGGAAACTCAAGTCGTCCGAACCTACACAAGCCCGATTTAACGTATCCAATAAAATAGGAGAGGCGGGAAGCCAAATTGCAAGGTCGTAAACACAGGGAAATTACAATATAATCAGACTACCAACTAACAGTTTGTTTTTTTGCACAAATTTTGACTAGGTAAAATCGAAATTCAGCTGACCACACGACCATGCGTCTAAAAATCTTTTATAACACTGCGGAAAATTTTCGAGAACAGAATACGGCATTTACCAAAATCTTATATATATTTTAATACTAAACATCAAAAATTAAGGTCTGCAAAACTAGACGATACGTGTATTTTGCATTTGCGTCACTACCAAATTAACAACTTCTATTCCAGGGAATCCAACCAAGTTTGCGTAAGAACAGGAAATAACGAGCAAAATCGGAGCCGTCCAGCAGTAAACCATGGATGGATGGTAATTATTTAAGCGGATACTGAACGGAAAGAATGATTCGTGTTCCTTAGTGACAGTTTTAGTCCACCATTTTCCCGTTATCATATTATGACATTTGAAATTTTCAAGAAGAGATTTTTAAGGTAGACGATGAAATCACCCACGTGTTTTTTATATGTATGAAAGTTATTTGAAACCAAGATAAGAATAGGACTGTGTTGCAAAACTGGACTGTGTGTCAACCTGACATTGCGCTTCGCTTAGCGCACTTACTTCATGCGCGTTGTGTAAGATGTACAAAAATCAAAACATTTAATATTACTTTATCTTTATTTTTAAAATTAATAACGATTTACGTCACTAATTTTATATTGTGACGGCATTTAGATGTATTTTTCTTAAATTAAAATAAATAATAAACTTAAAATGGCGCCATGTCATGACGGTGTCGTAATAGACGTTTAGAGTATCAAGTTGTCAGTAAACACAATCCTATCCTTATTCCAATATATAGGTTCGTGATTAAACTCAAATATCAAAAAAATATCTTTTAATATTGAAATATTATTAATAGTTTTGTGTAACATAAAACAACAACATTGAGCAAATCTTATGTTAAATTAGTTTGTAATCATTCTCTCACCATTTTGATTCCTATTGTCATTCGGTAAGGGGTCGTCAGAAATAGTAGAGGGTTCCCTAGAAGAAGCAGGCGGTGCTGGTAACTTGTCGCGTAGGTTCGCTGTAACGTAAAATTAACTTTTCTTACTTTAGCTGTGCAGAGGAAACTATAAGAAATTCCGCGACTAATTCAAAGGTGCACTTGTTTTGTTTATCATTTGTAACATATACCACGCTATATAGGTAGTTAAGTTTCGGGAGCGGTGCTGAAGCTTTTTAAATATTACAAATATGTCTCGATGACATTTATTACTATTACACTACAATAATGTATTAAAACTAATTCAGTGCAATACTGAATTCCTTAACTACGTGATTACATTACTACGATGAGAATTACAATGAACCTTACTCTAAATGCAAGGGATTTTATAGGATGGTCAAAACAAGTCGGTTGACTGAAAGTATGACGCCTTGGTTTGACCAGCAATAACAACTATACAGCTATTTCCAGACTGCATAACTAGGTAGCTTCTGTTTAAAAGAAAAATTCGTCGCTAACGCCGCAAAGGGGCAAACGTCAATTTTCTGGCGACTTCCAAAAAGGAGACGGTACTCAATTCGACTGTATGATTTTTTTATGTGTGTTACCTCATAACATTTTACTGGGTGAACCGATTTCGATGATTCTTTTTTATTTGAAAGCTGATACTTCTCGTGTGGTCCCATATCCCATAATTTGATCAAGGTCAGACCAATAGTTATTGAGTTATTCTTAATAACTTATATTGAAGTCGGCTGTACAAAATTTTTAATTTTTAATTATTCAAAAAATTACAGGAGTGCAAGAAAACATTTATAATAATCCGATTACTAGCTTTATTTCATCAGAAAATTAATCTTATTTGTAGTTTTCCATTAAGTCCAATATATTTAAATTTCTGATTAAAAAAACTAATAATCAGGGGATAATAAATGTTTCCTTGGTCTCCTGTAATTTTTTGAAAGTGTGGTTCGCCCCTTTTCGGCGTCAACGACGAGTTGTCGTCAGTGCTTACAATCAATAATTAAATTCGGATAAAACCAAAATTATATTAGTTAGGATAAAGTCATAAACACAATTGAATTAACATTTGAGGAATTATTAAATAAAAAATGGATTCAAAGGTATAATTTAAAAAAAAAAACCAATTGCTACAAACTCTTTTACATATTACTCAGGTAATTCGTAGTTTCCACTAGTAATTCACATGCGCAGAGTGCAAACATTAAATGTACAATATCGCAATACTTCTAAGTATCAAAATTCACGTAAATCTATTCATCATCATCATCATCATCATGATCATTACAGTCTTCCAAAAGTCCACCGCTTAACATAGGTCTCCACCAAAGATTTCCTCATACCTCATAGGATGCCTACCATATTTGCACCCTTGGCAGGTGGGTTGGCTACCGCATTTTTTAAATATTTTGAGTTGTAGGATATGTAGGGAGTAGATAATATTTCGCCGCCACTACATAGCGACAATATATAAACCTAAATACAGTATACGTGATACGTTCGCGATCATGTTCCCGCCAAAAGTTCTACAAGTTTTTAAAGATTACTGGTTTGGTGTTTTGATTTAAAATGAGCTAAAGATAAAAATATAGGTAGGAAATTGAGGACTTACGATGTGATTCAGCCGCTCCGCTGAGAATTCTTCCAATTCGTCCAAGTGACGTCATGCTCTGTAGACTCATCGTGTCATGCGATATTATTCTAAAACAATTGCGTTTAGAATGTAAGGCGACATTGTTCCACAATGGTTTACTTTTGTATTTTGCTTTATATTATATCATTTATTTTTTAAGCCTTTTAATATTAATAAAGAAAAAAGTTCCCTAAATAGTGTTATGTCTATATTTTATATATATATTTAGGTTAAGGTATATATTGCTATGGGCCAATGTTCTTAATTTTTAAGTCCTTGATGCCTGAAATAAAGTTATTGTATTGTATTGTATTGTTAATTATTTTCTATATTATAATCGTTGGTACATCTGTTAGTGGTTGTGTAACTTCTGCATGACTTAACTGATTGAGCACATTGAATAAAACTACTTTTACGGATTCTATCGCGTGTAATTAACTTATTTTTTATTAATTCTATATCATACTATTGTACGAGCAATATTCTATATATATGTGTTTATAATTTCATTCTCGAAAACGGCTCTAACGATTTCCAGGAAAATTATACTATAAAGGTTTACAGGGGCGAAAAATCGATCTATCCAGGTCTCATTTCTGCGAAAATTTGTTTTTTTTCTGTGTTTTCACGCACATACACAACAATAAACTTGTCTTGCTCGCGCGATTTTATTGGCAATTCACCACAAAGATAATCTTCACTATATCCCAATAGCTAAATATTTTTTTAGTTATTCTTTTTTTTTCATTAATATTCTAGCCCCGCATATAGAATAGAATAGAATAGAATAGAATATTTTTTATTCAATATACATTACATGTGTAATTCTTATTGAAAGTCATTTTTTACTTTACCACTGGTTCGAAAAAAACCCTCTGTCCTGGGAAGAACCAGCAAGAAACCCAGCGGGACTTTTTTTTTTTTAAATAAATTTTACAATATAAATGATTACGAACTATTTACAAAATTTATTTTAGAAACTGCTTGGAAGCGATCACCTCATTCCCAGGGGTTATTATCAACCATGTATTCATTTATACTATAATAACCCTTTTTATACAGTTTCAGCTTAATAAAACATTTAAACTTGGTAATAGAGAGAACCTGTACACTTTCCGGGACCTTGTTGTAATAGCGTATACATTGCCCCAAGAATGAATTACTGACTCTGTGGAGTCGAGAAACTGGTATCACTAGCTTGTGTTTGTTCCTAGTGTTTACAGAATGTATATCACTTCTTTTACTAAAACTATCTTTGTTTTTGTGAACATACATTAAATTTTCGTAAATATACTGAGAGGCCAAAGTTAATATATTAATTTCTTTAAATTTATCTCTAAGAGACTCTCTCGGTTTTAGATTGTAAATAGCTCTAATGGCCCTCTTCTGTAAAACAAAAATAGTTTCTGAATCAGCCGCATTTCCCCATAGCAAAATCCCATAAGACATTATGCTATGAAAATAACTAAAATAAACTAATCTAGCTGTCTCGACACTAGTGAGACCTCTAATCTTTTTTACAGCATAGGCTGCAGAACTTAGTCTGCTTGCTAATTTGAATATATGGGGGCCCCACTGGAGCTTTGCGTCAAGAGTGATGCCAAGAAAAACAGTGGATACAACAGGGCTCAATTCCTCCCCATTTAAAAACACATTGGTATTCAGATTTTGAACATTCGTTGTTGTAAATTTAACACAATTAGTTTTATTTCCGTTCAAATGCAGATTATTAACGTTAAACCAATGCACTAATTTTGATATAGCATTATTCACTTCGTCACATTTAAATGATTGACGTTTAAGTTTAAAAATCAAGGAAGTATCATCAGCAAATAATACTATATCATGACTATCCCCTACAAGGTGAGGTAAATCATTAATATACACCAGAAACAGGAATGGGCCGAGAATCGAGCCCTGAGGTACACCCATTAGTACAGGTGACCCGGAAGAACTTTTACCATTGATAATAACCTTCTGTTTTCTATTACTTAAATATGAAATAATAAGTTTAAGCGCTGTGTTCTTGACACCATAGTACTGTAGCTTCCTGATTAATGTCTCATGGTGAACACAGTCGAAGGCCTTGGAAAGGTCACAAAATATACCCAAAGCATCCTCTGAATTCTCCCATGCACAAAAAATATGTTTAATAAGCTCAACTCCAGCGTCAGTTGTCGAGCGACCCCTTGTAAAACCGAATTGATTATTATGTAGCAATTTATTAATATTAAAGAAACTTAACATCTGATCTAAAATAATTTTTTCAAAAATTTTACTTAATGTTGGTAGTACAGAAATTGGTCTAAAATTGGCGGGGTCTAATGTACTACCAGATTTAAATATAGGTATGACTTTACTATGTTTCATTAAATCAGGAAACACACCAGATTCGACGCTTATATTAAATATAGTGGCTAGATAAGGTGCTAATGTATCTATTATAGATAAAATAACTTTAACGGAAATCCCCCATAAGTCTGCCGTTTTCTTAACATCAATAGTTTTAAAATATTTAACGATATCTTTTGGCAGTACCCTATGGAATTTAAAAGTATTTGAACAAGCCTTTACATTTTGTTTGAGCAATGATTCGGCGACAGTAGGAGAAGAATTTAATGATTTTGTTGTCAAAAAAGGAACATCAGTAAAATGTTTCTCAAAAGCCATAGCAACTTCTTGATCAGATCGCGTTAAATTATTGTTAATATTCAATTGAAAATCCGAGTTGCGCGGTTTGACCTTGCCCGTTTCACTATTTATTATTAATATAAATTGTTATACAATGAACGAATGTTTTCTTCACGGAGTTACGTACATTTTTATGTCACTATGCATAGCTTGCTAAAATACAGTTTTATCGATAGACAATCAAACCTATTTTCAGAACCTTCAGAAAATAACGAGTAAAATTGTTTTGTGATAGCGCCATCTACTTTATCCTATAGGTAAAGTAATTTTATCGAACAAAAATTGATTGACTCTCAAGGTAGTACTTATAATAGACGCTAGATGGACTAAGTGTGACTAATTTAATATAAATCGGTAAATTGTGAAATCGTGAATTCTTATGAATGGATTGGATAATATGATAATTTTATACAATATGGTTAATTTTATTTATTTAAAAAAGTTATATTAACCATCATTAAAGCACCAAACAAGGAGGCCTAGATAATAGGAAACACAGTATACAGCATTCTCATTCTCTCGCAGTCTAAATCCTATAGATGTATATGTTTGTCTTTTTATAGTGTCGCTTTTTCGTTTCATCGATTTTAAATCACAATGATTGTAAAGTTTTAACTTCAAACAACTAACTTGAATGGATGCTCCAGCGTGTAGCCATGGTTGTCCGAAGATAAAGCTATGTCGAGCCCACCGTCGTCCTCCTCCTCCGTCTGCATGCAGCGACGTAGCTCTTGAAACCGTTTTCGGCCCTGCACAACCTGCAGATGGTGTAACATAGAATCTTATTGTAAAAAAATTGATGACAGTCATGTCCTCCAGGCCAATTTCGGACTTGATTGATCTCATGTTGTTAATTAACTATGCAGAAGATTTATTTATTTTATTTAAAAATCTTTATTGCATTCCCTTAGAAAAAAAAGGAACATGCCTAAAGGCATTATCTACCAGTCAACCCATGCGGTAGTGAGAATTTGAGGTAGAACGGAAAGAAAAAAAAAAGAAAAGAAACTGAAATAAATACACTTTATGTGTAGAAAACACATTATAATATAATGCTGTGAATATTATGAAGATCTTGATGGTAAGACTTTGTTTCTGTCTGGGAGTCCATCTGGATAGATAACACCCTTTTTCCTATTTCTGCCCCCAAATAGTGCAAGTAGCAGAGCAGTATTACGGTCTAAAGGGACATCTCATAGAGCCAGTATAGTTACAGACAGGTAATCCATATTAGTCCTCATAGGTGACACACACATCTGTAGCTTTCTTTGTTTGAAGTTGCCTGCAGCTGTGGTCGGCTGCAGAAGCCACTTGCAATAGGACTATTAGTTTGCTTGTTACTTTAGTATAATTAAAAAATATATTTGGAAGTAACTATGCAAAAAGGAACCAACTACGAAAATCTTATTTTGAGATAGTATAATTTAAAAATGTATAATTTAAATCTGTATTCCTTGATAATGATTTGTTTCAATCAATTTGTAATTTTTATTATCAACTATTGCTATTGCTGGAATTGTATTTACTTTGTGAACATATTTTTGGCTCATTTTTTTAATCATCTTTGGATGAGTTGGATCCTTTTTGCATAACTACATCCGTATTATAAAGTTGTAAGTGTACTCTTTGTTGTTCACATAATATATTTAAGTCTGTATTTAAAGCCTAAATACATACATTTTAAGAAAAGAAAAGAATCTAACAATTAGTCCAAAAATATGTATTGGTGGATTTCATGATGATAACTGTTATTTTTCTGTCTGTTTCCCTCACCACCAAGTATGTGTTAAATTAGCACTTGCACACAACAAATTCAGTATTTCCAATGGGGAATGAATCTGATTGTTTGTGAATTTAAGAAGAACGAAGTGAAACCCGCCCACAGAAGCAAGACGTGTCATCTTCTACTCTATAACTTACTATCAGCAAAAATAATCAGCCAGCCACAATTTGTAATGTATTTAGAGATCCAAATTTTTTATCAACTTTCACCAAACAGAATTTAGAACAGCTGCTAATAATTATGTTTATTGTATTAAACTAACAAAGGACATTGCTCTAAATTAAATTAAATTTGAACAAACTGGACAGTCTTAAACGATAATAGGAAAAAAATACAATGAAAGTTTTACTTTTTCTTTCATAGAATAAGGGTGACAAACGAGCACATAGTCCAGCTGATGGTAAGTGGTTGCTGTGACCCTTAGATATCTCTACATCTACTCTCGATTACGAAACAAAATGCAGATGCGTTGTCACCCGTGAGGACTAAGATGCAATGGCTCAATTCCAATAAAAAGGGTCTCCGGTTCTCTACACTCACTATATTTGACTGCCTTGTTGGTCTAGTGGTTGTAGTAGTGCGACTGCTGATCATGAGGTCCCGGGTTCGTATCCCGGGTCGGGCCAAAAAAAAATCAGTTATTGAGTTTTTCCATCGAGAAAATCTCAGTAGCTGCCCGGTGTCTCGGAAAGCACGTAAAGCCGATGGTCCTGCGCCTGTTCTCTCTCCGGTCGTGTCGGCTTACCGACCCATCGGACTATGAGAGTGAGGGAATAAAAAGTGCACCTGTGCTTGCGCATACACTTGGGCACTATAATCCTGGCCTGCGCCGATGGCTAGTCTCCGTTGAGGCTGGCCGCCGTGACCGAAATTCGGTCTGGAGGACATTATTATTACTAATATAACTGCAGCATAGCTCTACCACATAAAAATTACACAAATGAGTAAAACTTCTTCACACAAATGAGAAATGAGTTAAATGCAAAACAAACTCCATGTATCCATTTTAAACAATAGAGTTCCGTATAGCTCGACGCCACCACTGCAATGAATTTAATGAGCATAGTTATCCAACTCATATATTTACTATTTCTTGGTCTGTGATTAACTGGAATTTGTAATAAGCTTGTTTTTTTTTTATAGAATACCATTGATAAACAAGCATACAGTCCACCTAATGGTAAAGTGATGATGTGATCCATAACCATTTTACATATATCCTAAATTAAGAATAAAAAAGCAGATGCATTTCACCCCTGAGGACTAAGGGTCTCCAGTTCTTTACTCTAAACATAGCAGCACCGAGCTGCTATTTTATGTTGGTAGGTATACTGTAAGAGTGTAATCCTTCCCAGGTCAAACTAACCCATTCATACTACAAGCATAATATAGTTGCGGTGTGCTCTACCACACCAAAACTACACTCCATTTATGGCCTCGAAATATTAAACACCTCAAACATACAGGTTTCCTCGCAATGTTTTCCTTCACCAATGGACATGTTTTAAATCAGCACTTAAAATTTAGTTTAACAATTTCATCAATAGCATCGGAAATTGCAACTAGACCCTCTCAAAAATTAGGAGGCCTATGTGTGACATATATAGGATGTAACTTTAGTTTGGATATTATAAGAGTAAGGCATCAGAGGAGTTTTTCGCAAAGTATATGGTATGGTAGTGAGTTTCCATACAACTCGAGCAGCTGGCACTCAGGCTCGATACGTGGTATTACACCAGCATGTATGTGTAATGCTAAAGGCCGCACTCTGCACACTTTTCAGGCCTTAACCTAAATTGTTCCCAATGATTCAGTACAATTCCATCCCAACTGATTCAGTAGTGTTATTGTACTGACTTGCAATAAAAACAGACAGTAATTCCAAAAATGTTTACAACATGTTCTGTCTTATCCAATCAACACAAAATTTTTATAATTATATAGATTGCATTAAATAAGTTATGAAACAAGCAAGTATATGATGAAAAACAAAAAACTTACATTTTTTATGGTAGCTCTGTCATCTTCTGCAGCTATGGCTTCACAGCTGGGTGTACTGATGACACCTATTGCTGGAGCCAATGATTCCTCTGTTCTCGTTACTGGACTTTTGTCCTTCTGTGTAGGTGAGCTTATATCTGTCACACAGATGTTCTTGCATATGGAAGATCTCCTATAAAAATTATGAAGAACTCAAAAGCAGAAAGAATATAATTTCATAAATGAAAATGTACATGCTATATTATCGAAGGCTGTAAATAGAATAAGTTTTAATAAACATATGATGTGATGTACTATACAGAATAGATTAAACATGAATTTAGTTAGGTCACTGTTTACATCTTAAAAGCATTGTTATTTAAACAATTGATGTATGCTATTATTTAACACTTAGCATTTCTGCAGTTATCAAATGTAATATTCACATTTGATTGTGAAGTTTGCTTGAACATTCTGGCTTCCCAACAATAAAAGAGCATTAAAAACAGAACATATGAAAAAAATATATTTTAAGTTATTCAGTTTAGCTGTAGACACTATTGGCCTTTAGGTTCCACGCATGGTTAAGTTTTTAAAGGAAATTTATACACAACTGTTCATAGCTGCTGGAGACATGACAGTTGGTTCAGCAAGAAAACACAGCCAGTATTCATATACAAGTTAAAAACATTATGCGACAGTTTTTGTTAGTTAAATAGGTACGAGTCGATATCAAGGACGATTATGGTCGAACAAAACATCTGTTTCTATCATACTATTACACAGTGTCAGAGAACTAATTATTCATTAACTGGACGGTCTACTTGAAGAGCTACTGATTTATTTTGATCAGACATTGAATAGGCTTCTTAAAAAGAGGAGGAAAAACAAGAAAATCATAAACAGTGTCTTACTTTGAACCCTTAATGGGTGTGAATTCCTCGGCATCGTAAAACTCCTCTGAATCGCTGCTGTCGCCCATTGTGGCTAACTAATTAGAATGTAACAGGTTTTAGATTTGACGATTCATAGGATACTGCATTTAAACCATTATTAACCATCAATTATTTCCACAAAAAGTTGGTTTCGAGATTTCAAGTCGCACTCATCCAAATATTTGACGGATGTATCTGTATCTGACAGTTTGACAGTTGACGTAAAATTGTTGTTTGTTGTTGTTTTTATTATTAGCTCGAAAGAGTAGGCAAAGGAACTATGCCATACAGCCTTGTCTTTTTTATTTTGAGTATATAGAATTTCACTGCTTCACAATATGTTGATGCGTGACATTGCGCAGCCGTTGGGAGATTTTGATGGCAACTTGAGCCAGCAGACAGCGGACAATTGGCGATGGTATCTAAAGGCGCCTATGCAAACAAACAGCTTATCTTGAGAATCCATCACCATCAGAGCACCTGTTTCACCGTTTCCAGTAATAGTTTACACGCGTAGACAGTTAATACATAAAATTGCACCACTTTTACGTATCAAATTCCACTTCAAACTTTTATTTAAACTATAATACAGGAGCAGCAAACCGCCGCCGGTCAAGTTCCCACCAAAACTCCGTTGACATAAAATATGTTGACACTTGACGCCTCACGCATGACGTAACTTTTTTTATTTAAAGGCAAAGCTATCTATTCTCGTGTAGTCTAATCTAACGTACTTCATTCACAAAGAAGGATGCCCATTTTTCACCTGACTATGTATAGAAATGAAATTAATCTTAAAATTCAGCTAATTGAATTCTAAATTAAATACGCGTATCACAATATTAAAAGAAACGCAGGAAAAAAATATAAACTTATTACCACCATATTTTGAACGCATCTCAACTACCCTTTTTCTAATACGTTCCATTTCACATACTTCGCATTTCGCTACTTCACTTAATTGAACTCTGTTTCTGAGTTTTAAACATTTATTTTATTTAATCAGTAAGTATTTCTCTATATTCTTATATACATATATATTCCTTTTTATACATATTTCTTTATTACTTTTTGTACAGTACAGATTAATTAAAAATAATATAATAATTAAATAAATTAATAATATAGTATGCCATTGAGTGCACACGAGTGAAACAGATTTTTTTGACATTTTATGGCTCCAGTACACGTTGGCCGAGCGCGCTTGGCGAGTGCGCTCGGCAGATTTTCGTGGTGCCGTTCACACGTTGGCGTGTTTCATTCTGCGTTGGTAGCTAGATGATGATGGACGTTAGGGCAATCGCGGCCACTGTCATATACTTATACAGCGCTTCACACTTCTCAGAGTGAACGAAAACAAAACTACACATACAACAATAATCCCAGTTTGTCCTTTTTAGGGTTCCGACCTCAAAAGGAAAAAAGAAACCTTTATAGGATCTACTAGCTGACCCGTGCCCGCTTCGCTGGGGGTTTTTTCAAAATAAAAGATAGCCCAAAAGAAGCCCCTAAGCTACATTATCCCTGAGCAACATAATCATCATTCTCTAAACCATTTCCCATTATCTGGGGTCGGCGCAGTAAATCTTTTTGTTCCATTCCTCTCTATCAGCCGTCATTTCCATACTTACTCCTTTCATTCTCATATCACTCTTCACACAATCGATCCATCTTTTATTCGGCCTTCCTCTGCCCGTGTGTCCCTCCACATTCATATTCAACACTCGTTTTGTGACATGACTTTCATTCCTCCGCATCACATGCCCAAACCATGCCAATCTGCTTCCTCTCACCTTTTCTACCACTGGCGCTACTTTCAGGCTTCCTCTTATATACTCATTTCATTATCTTATCCATCCTTGTCACACCACACATCCATCGTAACATTCTCATTTCATTCGCATGCAGTCTATTTTCATCCTTCTTCTTGACGGCCCAGCATTCACTTCCGTACATGACGACAGGTCGGATGATCGATTTGTAAATTTTCCCCTTCAGCCTTATTGGCATTCGGGGATCGCACGTTGTGGCTGTGACCTGTCGCCATTTCATCCACCCTGCGTTAATCCTATGCTGCACAGCTCTATCTATTCCGCCGTCGTCTTGAATGAGGGAACCGAGGTACTTGACATCTGAGCAGATAGGCAGTATAGCGCCATCCAACGACATGGGTACAGGACTGGAAAGACCGCCGAAATCACAGCACAGATATTCGGTTTTGGATCTGCTGATCTTCAGGCCAACACTTTCCAGCCTCCGTTGCCACCCCGTCAGTCTGCTCTGTACCTCGATGCCTTCTTCCCCGACAAGCACGATGTCATCGGCAAAGAGCATGCACCAGGGTGCCTCATCCTGCAGGTCCGACGTCAAAGCGTCCATAATCAGTAGGAAGAGGTAAGGGCTCAGTGCCGACCCTTGGTGCAGCCCTACCGCCACATCGATACTGCCCGTAGTTCCCGCGGCAGATCGTACACATGTACGGGATGCTCTGTACATAGCACGGACCAACCTCACATACTTCCCAGGCATACCTTTCATCTTTAACGCCCACCACAAGACCTCACGGGGAACCCGATCGTACGCCTTTTCAAGGTCGACAAAAACCATGTGCAGATCTTTATGCACGCGCTTGTACTTTTCGCACAATTGGCGTAATGCGAAAATGGCATCTGTCGTACCTCGACTGGGCATGAATCCGAACTGGTTTTGTGTTATCTCACACTCTTCTCTCATTCTTCTCTCTATTATTCTTTCCCAGACTTTCATCGTATGTGACATGAGCTTTATTCCCCGGTAACTGCTGCAGTTTTGAACGTCTCCTTTGTTTTTAAAAATGGGAACCAGTATACTACTGCACCATTCCTCAGGTATTTGTTCTTCCTGCAACAATTTACCGAAAAATAAACTCAACCACTTCCATCCATCCGCCCTCAGCAACTTCCACACTTCTACTGGTATTCCATCTGGGCCGACCGCCTTCCCATTCTTCATATTCCTAACAGCCATTTTTACTTCTTCCACACTAATTTCTCTCACTAAGCCCATATTCACTGGTGGGTTTTCAAGCATACCATTCCATTCATTCTCCTCATTCATCAATTTCTCAAAATACTCCTTCCATCGCTTCTTTATACTTCCATCGTCAGTCAAAATCCTTCCAGAATCATCTTTTATACATTTTACATGTGAAACATCTCTTCCATTCCTTTCTCTCGCTCTTGCAATTTGAAAAAGTCGTTTTTGACCTTCGGGGCTTTCAAGGGACCGATATAATTTATCGTGCGCCTCTGCCCTACAAATAGCAACTTCCTTCTTCGCTCTCTTCTTACATTCTTTATACGCCCCTCTCTTACTTTCTTTTATGGATTCATTCTGGTCTTCTACACTCTGCCATTCTTTAAAGGCATTTTTCTTTTCTCTCAAAACTTCTCTAATACTTTCACTCCACCACCACCCATCCTTATCTATCATACGCTTCCCTTTTGTTTCTCCTAACACCTTCCTTGCCACACTTCGGATACAATCAGCTATTTCCTTCCAGCACTCATTCACACTCATTCCTTCCATATCACCCATCTCTATCATCTTGTTTACAACTAGCTCTCTAAATTCACTTGCATACCCATCCTTATGCAACAAATGCCACTTTATTTTGGGTGGGGGACGATCCTTATGTTTGTTGAGGCAAACAGTTAAGCAGATGTCAGCCAGCAGAATTCGGTGCTGGGATACTAAGTCTTCACCTGGAAGCACTTTGCAGTTTTTTACACTCTTGATTTGGTTCCGTCTTATCAGAAGATAGTCGATCTGTGTCGCGTGGTGGCCACTTTTATAAGTAACAAGATGCTGATCTCGTTTTTGGAACCACGTGTTTACTACAGCCAGGTCGAAAGCACATGCTGCTTGCAGAAGAACTTCCCCCTCACGGTTCCGCACTCCATACCCCCATCCACCGTGTACTCTTTCATACCCGTCATTCACTCTCCCTACATGTCCATTAAAATCTCCTCCCATATAAACATCCTCACGCTCAGGTATTCCCATCATCATACAATCAAATTCCTCCCAAAACTTCTCTTTCACACTCTCTTCACAGCCTGTTTGCGGAGCATACACACTTACAACATTCACTACTTTGTTTTCAATCATTAATTTAACAACTATCATTCTGTCATTTACTCTTTTCACATCTGTCACTCGTTCTTTCATTCCACTATCTAACACAACTCCTACTCCATTTCGCTTCCCATCACTTCCACAATAATAAAACTTGTATCCCTCCCCAATCTCTCTTGCTTTATTGCCCTTCCATTTTGTTTCCTGCAAACAGGCAACATTCACTCTTCGTCGTTTCAAAACATCTGCTAACTCTCTTCCTCTTCCAGTCATCGTACCTATATTCCAGCTTGCAAACCTCACTCTGACATTCTTCTCTCTCCGAGCTCGCCTCTTACGTCGCACCCGCTCCGTAAGGTGCGACAACCCTTGCCCACTTCCCACAGGAGCCGGGTGCTGCCCCTGCGCGTCGCCTGCGGGGTACGCCCTAGCCCTGCCATATGTCCCACAACTCGTACTATTCATTTACTGCATGGGATTTGGCAAAAGTTTTACAGTCGGCCGCCTGCCTGACACCAACCCTCTTTGGGTATGCTATTGCTGGTAGAGGAAGCTACCATTTTGGGAAAAGGAAAAAGAAGTTTGGGGGTAGGAGCATAGGTGTAAGGATACTGTTATCTCGGCAGGAAAGGTATGAGAATAACAGTAGCTCGGGGAGCCGGGGTCGCGTACCCGTATTCCATACCAGGATCACCGGAAAGGTAGACCAGCATGAGAACCCCCTGACTTCTATCCCTGAGCAACATAAACGCAATATTATTATAAATTATCTCTGCGTTTATCCCTGAGCAACATAAACGCAGAGATAATTTATAATAATATTTATCATTAGGTAGGTACTCTGAAATCGCAACTAAACATGTATTATTTAATGAAGTTAGGCAAGTTACTCTGGTTTTATTTTTATGTTGCTCATGTTTGGGGTTCCATATAACTGATTCATTGTGAGGATCAATCAATGAACAATGAATCAATATTTCACTCCATAATTATTAAATCGTAATGTGTTGTTATGCATATAAGTAACATTAAAAATATATTATATTGAATTATATATTTTTTCATAATATATAATAT